TATATATATATATATATATATATACACGTATGTTTTATATAGTGCTTTTTTTCTATTTTTTTTTTTTTAACTTTTATTTTTGGATCCTTATTTTTACGAAACGATTGGAAAAAAAAAAATATTTTCGAAACTCGCGTCGAAAGTACCGACCACATATAAGCGTCCTAAAAAAAAAAACTATAAAAAATAGAGCGATTGCAACGATACAAGATTTTTTTTATTTTTTTGGTTCACCTATAATATTGTGAACAAAAAAAAAACGATATGTAACATTGAGATATGTGATAAACTACCGTTGATATAATATTACAATGATAATAATATTATTATTTTTTCAGGCGCGTATTTTTTATTATGTTATTTTTAAAATGAATTTTGAAGATTTCGAAGATTCTTCGTTAATTCGATTCTCGATTAATTAATTTGAACGATTTTTATTCGATGAATGATAGTATTTGTAGTATTTTTGAATAAGCGTGCACCGAAGACGCCATAATAATAATAATAATAATAATAATAATAATAATAATAATAATAATAATAATAATAATAATAATAATAATGATAATATATTCCGTCGTAATTGGTTGGAACGGAAAGGACTTTTGATAATAATGGCGTAGGTTGTATTTTCGAGGATAACGACGATTTTTCGACGATCGTGTCGCGTCGATAATCCCGTCGTTAAATGTAGGTTTGTTCACCCGAATTCTCTCGGCTTCTTCGCATGTGGTGGAGCGAGTAAGCAGAATAGTACCTTCCGGATGAGAATCTCTGAAAAAAACGGAAGCTACACTTTGCCAACTGTAACAAAACTTTGTAACAAAACTCAATAGGTGTATCAAACACCTTTTCTTCGGATGTTATTTCTTCCTTTCTTTCTTTCTTTCTTTCTTTCTTTCTTTCTTTCTTCTTTTACGATTCATCAGGTTTTTTTTTGTTTTTCCTAATCATCTCATTTTACCGATCAAACATCACGTTCGATCTTTGAATTAATTATAATGTAATATATAGAATACAATTTCTTGCTGTAAATAACAGATTATCGGAGGAATCATTTAAAATATCTAATGGAATATCGTCTTATTGAATTTACAATAAGACGAAATTCAATAACGAAATTATTTGGATTGGAATAATCAACAACAAGTTATGAAAAACCCTACCTAACTTCGAAACTTGCGTTTTATTAAATACCTATGGAGAAAGATTATAATAAACAAATGATAGATAACGTAAGCTATTTTTTTTTTTTTACTTTAAATATCAACTTAACCTGTTGATTAGATGTAAATTAATTAGTTTAGAATAGAAGAAGAAGAAGAACACGATATAAAATAACTCGAGTGAACAACTTGAAATAACTTTGAAAGCGAATAAACTCAACGAACCTTACTCCAACCCCGTAGTAAGCGGAATTTGATGATATTTTCTGAATGAGAAAACTTTCATCAAACTATCGATTTTCGTCTTTATATTTATACCTGCATAATTTCGCCATTTACAAATGGATGAAAATTCAAACGACAAGAATCTAGATATTATATTATTATTTTTCTTTTTTCTTTTATCCATTTTCGTTGTAACGTTGCAATCGTAAAGGAAGGAAAAAAAAAATATTAATTGTGGAGAAATAAAATTTTTTGTATAAATCTGCTAGAATAGAGAAGAAAAATAATATCATAGATTTATTACTTATTAGCGAATAGAATTTTGTTTTTTAGTTTTTATCTTTCATACGAATTCATCCTCGACTCACCTGACTAGGTTTACATCGAAAAGCTGGCTGATATCTTCTCCTCATTCGTTTTGGACAACATACGCATAATATCCTTACGAATGCCCTGAAACAACAATAACAATAACAATAACAACAACAACAATAATCATGATAATATTTCTTAACATGAATTACATTTTGAATCAAAAAAAAAAATGAAATACTTTATGTGTTGTTCCTTTGTGTCGTCACGATTTCAAATCGATTCTGATTAAATTCAAGGTGTATTTTCTATCTCCGAAATAAAAGCAAACACTATAATAATATGGTCGTACTACTTTTGCAATGACGAGGTGCACCATGCACGAAACTTTGTTACCACTTACAATAGTTGCATGCTATTCTAATGCTAAGATCGCATGATCGAAGCGCATAGCTTTTTCTTTTCTTTTTTTTTTAAGTGCCACGCTCGTTTGTACAATATTAGCATAGGGACCATTAGGGTTGGTGTAAAAGTGACACGAGATAGATATTGTTCATTTTACGGTTTCAATAAAAGCAAACAGTTGATTCCTTTTAAATTAACGATTATTATTTTGAACAAAAAAAAAAAAAGAGAAAATAAAAATCTAATTTGAAATGAAATTCGTTGTTGTTGATAAAAAGAAATGAAACGTGTTTTTTTATGTTTTTGCAAAAAATTGATATACGTGTATCGTATTAATTGAGAAAATAAATTAAATTGTGTGTTGTTTTATTTTTTTTTATAATGATACAAATAATACGAGTAAAATAAACGTGTCTGGGTAATATTACAATTCTTGATACATTTAAATCGCGTGATCTTTCTCTCAAACATTGGAATATATGAGACTGTTGAAATAATATTTATTTAGGAAACTCGAACATGATATCGATGGTCGTTGCTGCGATGCGCCAGTTTCGATTACAACTTTGAATGTAATACGTTGTGCAAAAAAGAAAAAAGAAAAAAGAATAAAGAAAAAAAATAGGTATAAAAAGAAAAAAGAAAAATAAAACAAGAAACAGAGAAACAAGATTATTTCAGTTTTATCGTAGTTCTTCATTCGAGTACGACGAACGATGTTACTTTCAATCGCAATCATAGGAATGCTGTTTCAAATAGTTTTTAGTATTATGGTACCAGACTTTTGGTACGAGTTGGAACAATTGGAAAAAGAGTTGCAGGAAGAAGAAAAAGAAAAAGAAGAAGAAATACAGAAAGGTGATCGTTCGTTGATCATTGCTGACACGATTAATCGATATACCAAAAATCATTTAGATTTACAATGGACACCATGCATCACGAGTTATTTGAAAAATCATTCGAAATATTCGACGATAGTTCTTATGTCAAACAACACATTGAAAGATAATTTTGATAATACCGATTTACTTGTACGTATTTTTCAAGCCGAAATGATTTCGATGTACACGTTGAACAACGACGAACATCTTAATACGAGCAAAGAAGTATCATCCATAATTGTCGTCATAGAAAACTTGGAAGATTTGGAAGAAAAGAATTGTTCTCGTTATCTCGAGATTTGTTCTTATGACTTATGCAACTTTGTTGTAATAATAGCATCGAAAATTTTCGAGATGGAAGATAACTTTCTCGAGGAAGCCGATAACATACAACAATTTTTGTGGTTGGAAAAAGTTAGTAAAATTGTTATTTTGGGTAATACTAATAATAATACCGTATTATTAGCTGCTACTAGATCATTTAAACCTGACGAATTGTGTACTCCATCAGCACCGATTATTCGAAGTAAGTGTCAAGGAAACATTTGGAATGGTGAAAATGATATCGATGATGATTTTCAAATGAACGGTTGTACTCTAGTAGTTGGTTACAACGACAATCCATTTTATTCTTTTGTAAATAACGAAACGGACGAAGAAAATATTTTAGGATTGGAAGGATTCATGATTAAGGAAATATTGTCCACTATGAATGGCCGATTGATCAGAGAAATGATACCGTTGACAGGTAACACAAGTATCGACAATGATTTTAAAATGATAACGTATCGTGCAGGTCAACGAATCGATTTGCTATTGGGTGGTCATTTATGGAATCCTGACGTAGATAAGGATTATACTATTGCATACGAAATGATACCGCTAGTTTGGATGATGCCAAACAAAGCTAACGTTTCATTACGCGGTTTGATCGCACCATTTGGAACAACCGTATGGTTAGTTATCTTAGGTGTTCTAATATTAGGTATACTAATCAAATCTTTCGTCATTAAGAATATATCATTGCTCGACATTTCGGCATTAATCCTCGGAGTTTCAGTGTCACGTCAACCATTACAAACTTCCAGTCGCATATTGTTCTTATCTTGGGCTCTGTTTAGTTTCTTCATGAGTCAATATTATCTAGCATCGTTGTCGGAACAATTAATTAACGCGTCAAATCTACAAGTAGAAACTATGAAGGAATTGATATCGTCCGGAATAGAATTGGGTGGTATCACCAGATACACCGAATTGTTCGACGAAGATAATGAGAACAATGATGATGAAGAAACTAAAGAAATTAATCGTAATATACGTGAAAAAATTCACAAATTTTCTTTCGACGATTATAAACGACAATGTATGGATCTGTTCGAAGGAAAAAATACGAGTATGGCGTTGATCGTTAAGCTCAACGTATCTGATTATAATTTACGTTCGAAAAAAGATCTCAATGTGTTGACCGAAAATATGGGTACACATCCTGTAGCAATTATTACCTGGAGAGGATTTCCATGCTTGAATAACATTAATATCAAAATGCAACGGTTAATAGAAAGTGGCATTATTAAATATTGGACCAAATTAATCGCAATGAATGGAAGTTATTTTGATGTAAATGACGAAATAGAAATCGATGACAATATCAATCTCGAAAGCGTAGTACCTAGTTTTTTATTATTAATTATCGGTTATCTAACAGCATTACTTATTTTTATTATCGAATTAATTGCTTTTCCCAGCAAATTTTTAGAATAACGTTAAACTCATTAGTATTATTATTATTCTTACTTCGTTTATTTTAAATACAATAGGCACATTATTTTCCACGTTAATCGTACAACGAGTCAGGTGTTCTTTTTTTCTCTTTACCATCAAAATATCTTATTGTTATTTAATATAATGTGAGTATAATTAAACGCTTTTGTTGTAGAATATAATTCAGCGGAAGAAATAAAATAAAGAAATAAAACGTTCGTTGAGATATTTTAATTATCGTTATAACTTTAATCATCGTTATATTTATTTAATTAAATGAAATACAATGAAATACGATAATAAACGAAATAAAAAAAAAATATTGATTTTTTACTACATTTGTTAACGTTTCCTTTTTTTTTTTACAATATTAATCAAAGTATCGATTTACGTCGTTGATTAAAAATATTTTCAAAAGATTTCCTTTTTCTTCGATGTTAAGAGTGGATTATTATTGCATAGTATGATTATTACCGAGGGGTCGTAATAAAGTCACCTTCTAGGTTTTTAAATAGGGTAATCGAGAAAGCAGGATGCCTTTTTTCAAGAGTTTATTAGAAAACTTTCCTGTAATTCCATTAAAACTCTTCCCTTTTTTTTGGCTTTATCTTCTCTTCTATGAAAAGTAAGATAGAGATAAAAAGAGAGAAAAAATTATTATTATACTTAAAATTCGCACACACTATTATGGTATTATCGTTAAAAATATAGGCAGTATCTATTATCGCCTACTAATTATTCATTAAAAGTCTATTAAATATGCATTTATTATGTGCTTTATTTATAATCATTATTCTTCCCTACCTTTTCATCTATTTTATTTCAAATAATAGTGTTTAATTATTACAAATGATATTGAAATTATAAATTCGCTTGTAAATACGTAAATGCATGACACGATTCCCTATATGCATTAATAATAACGAATTGTTTAGAATAAATTAATGTATATATCATATTAACGTTAATAAAATGTTCTTTTTCGTTCAAGGTGGAAGTATCATTTTTTTCCATTTAATAATAACAATAATAATCAAATATGCTTACTTTATATATCTTATATACCTATTATATTTATTATATATATATATATGAATAATTATGTCTATTGTTTAATTTGCCAGAAACAACGTCTAATCATAATCACGATATAATACCGACGAAATTAACGGCATAGTGGGTGGCTCTTCGTGGCCTTGGGAAAGCTGTGAGATTAATTAACGATTCAACCCATCATCATTCACTGTCTTAATTCTTGATTGCTTAACGAGAAGTGTAGATGGACTTCTGACGAGAAGCTATTTACGGATTATGCGAATATACATACCTCTAATTATTATGTGTTTATCAAAAATGAATTTTATTATCGATTTTGTCGATTCTAATTTAACCCATTACTCGCCACAATATGCAAATGCAAATAACAAAATTAAATTAACTGTACAATGATATTTATACTAACCCAATAGAACTATTTTTGTAACAATTGTTTTTTTTTTGTTTTTAAATATAAAAATTATTTTATATCATTAATTCAAAATAAAATATTTAATAATTATAATTTTAATTATTTAAAATAAATTATTTATCAATTATAATTTTAGTTATTTAAAATAGAATATTTAATAATTATAATTTTAATTATTTAAAATAAAATTGTTAACCCTTAAAGTGCACATGGGGTGTTTGACACCCCAACAAATTTTTGATCTCTCGAAAACGGTACTGAATTCGAAAAAATGGGTTATTTGTCTAGTGCCATCTAGTGTTAATTCAGATCAGTATAAAACCTATTTTATTTTAAAAAAGATGTATCAAACTACTTTAAAAAAAATTGCGAGGTCTAAATATTAAATAGCGGCTTCAGGACACGTCTTCAAACACGTTGGGGTGTCAAACACCCACACTGCACTTTAACTAACTTTTACCAAGTATGCACTTTAAGAGTTAATATTTTCATGAAGCACGAGGTTCAATCTCGATAATTCTAAGGAATATATTTCATTGTGAAGTTGTAGTTATTAAAAAAAAAAATTTCAAAATGCATCCGAAAATAATTGCGTCCCATTGGTGGGTAATGGATTAAAGAGATTA